TGGAGAGATTTCGCATACTTAGGGAGATTTGGGAGAGATTCACTATTCTTGGAGAGATTTCACATACTTGGAGAGATTTGGGAGAGATTTCACATACTTGGAGAGATTTGGGAGAGATTCACTATATTTGGAGAGATTTGGGAGAGATTCACTATACTTAGAGAGATTTCGCATACTTAGAGAGATTTGGGAGAGGTTCACTATACTTGGAGAGATTTGCATTCTAACACTTTATGGCTCCTTAGGAACTCATATTGAACACTTAGGAGTGTTAGCAAAAGTCTCAGAATAGTACTTACTTACCTGAGGACAGAATTTCCTAGCCAAAAGTGCTAGTTGTGACAAAAAACATTTGGGTGAGACTTAAACCGCCAAAGCCACTTAAAAAGAAGAGCTATGTTTAGGGCCATCAAACTACTATTACCAAGACCACCCACAACTTTCGGCCAACTTATCGAAGTCAATTTTCTTTCTTCTAAATTAGCCCCAATAAAAATTGTTTTTTAGAGACTCCAACTTATTTAAAATTCCAACCAGGGCCTTATACAAAGACATAAAGTAAGTTGGAAGAGAACCCAAAACATACTTTAAGAGCGCAAATCTTCCTCCCATCGAAAGGGTTTAACTTTTCAATTATTAAGTTTAGCACCGTTTTTTGAACCAGCACTCTCCAAGAATGAAGCCTAGCCATATTACCACCAACCAAAAGACCCATGAATATTCATGGTTGTGCAACCAATGCTCTCCGCCACAACTTCAATCTCCATATTAGGCACTCCAGTACCTAACAATTTACTTTCATGAATATTTATTTTCAATCCCGAGACTACATAAAAACAATGAAGAACCCAAATAATGGTCGAAATAATTGACTCCTTCCATTCTCCCACAAAGATAGCATCATGGGCATAAAATAGGTGTGAGACTAAAATAGGAGCATAATTAACAATAGAGATGCAAGAAAACAAAATTACCCTTAATAACACCTTGAAAAGCTGCATATAAGTTTTTCATCACCAATAGAAAAAGAAAAGACGATAGATATGATCATCTTGACGAAGTCTCCACAAAAATTAGAACTCATCCATCACAAAACTATTGACCAAACCGAACCTTGAGAAGACTACAAGCATTTAACTTTTATTTAAAATAAAAAAACTCATAGTTAAAAAACTTACAACTATTTTTTTCGAAAATTTCTATACAAATAAAAGCTAAATCTTATAGTTTCCAATGAAGTGTAAGGTTATATTATTGCAATTTTAGAAGATAAAATGATTATATCCTAACATAATCTTCGTTTTTGGTATTTTAGTGATTGGCTCGGTGTAATTTCTTATGCAAGATTATGCCATGATAGCATAACACCGTGTGTATAGAGTGTTTTTAACTTTTAATTGTCTAATTAAATGCCACTTTCATATGGACACTACTGGAGCAAAGAATAGCCGTACAGAAGTATAGATTCATTGTATTGTATTTTTTATACATTAAATTTACAGATCATACATACACTGTCACACAAATAATAATAATTTCACCCAATTATTATTATTCCTACTCTACATCGGCAAGTCAGCCTTTTCACTTCCCGATTGTGCATAACCGTATTGTACGGTACAACACACTAATGCTTGTGAAGTATATTCGTGGGCAAAACCCGAAACGCCCAAAATAATATAATTTGTGCAAATTGGTCACGGAATATTTTTTTTTTTCAAACTAGCGACGCACTGTAGTCTGTAGCCACCGCCGTTCTCCGTTCAAATTCTCTGATCGCCCTGCCGCCGCCGGCTGACGTGGCGGTGGTGAAAATCCGTGAATGATCAAAGTCGTGGATGTACTGGCTTACGATGGCGGATCCCGGTACTGCCACTAGCTCAGCCCATGCATCGTCGGCTTCTTTACCGTTTTGTTGGAAGGCTTTGGTGGCGTCCAGCCGGTGGATTTTCCACCCTTTGATGTTTTTTAGTCGGTGGATTTTTCTTAATTGCCGGCATGCGAGTTTGCATGTGTTGATCTTTGTTTCGTTAATGGCGGATTCTAGTAAATTTGATCGAACTTTTTCGTCGGTAGAAGATGAGTATTCTGAGCGGAAAAAACTGTCGAATTCCGGCACTCCGATGGCTCGCCGGATTCCTTTCGAGTAATCAGAATTTGGATTAAACAAGTTTCTAACTTCATCCACCATCCCCTCAGCCACCATACGGTTGACTCGGGCGGAAACGAATTGTTCGAGCACGGGCATTGCGACGTCGACCCACAAGAAACAAACATCGTAACTCGACCGGAATTCGTGATTCCGGTCATCAACCAATGCTTCTATGAACGAATTCGATCCTCCAGCAATAATCGGGAGGTTATTTCTACTGACGATGGATTTCATTGCGACTGATGAGGTGCTAACGAAGTCAGAGGAGGTGAAATCCGTGTCGGAATCCACTATTCCAATAAGGTGATGAGGCACGCCGTCGCTTTCTTCGTCGGTGATTTTGTTGGTGACGATGTCTAAGCCTTCGTAGACTTGCATTTTATCGGAGTTTATAATCTCTGCGGGGTAGCGAGTGGCGATGTCGACGGCCAGTCTTGATTTTCCGGTGCCAGTGGCGCCCATTACCACCACAACTTTTTCTTTTTGTGGACGTCGCCGGAGCAGCGACAAGTTGATGGGCATTTGCAATAAGGATGCATGAGCTTGCAGTTTGCACATCATCATCATTATTGCCTTTTTCAGGTGGTGGTTATAATTTGCCGGAGAAGCTTTGAATGGTTGAACACATACACTGATGTGGTTTATATTATAGTAGAAAGTAGCTACATGGGAACTTAAAAGTTGCACGAAGGTTCCTTCTGTTGTGTGCATGTATATATTAATTAATATTATTATTAACTTTGATGTAATTTTATCATATTAAAAATACTCTTGATATTGATTTATTGTGGAAACTCTATTAAAATGTAAAACATATTAATTTCTAAAAAAGTAGATGTAAAAAAACATGCATGCGATATTGATCAAGGTATTTTTTTCTGCAAAATGTGATTGATATAACTTAACAGGTCTTTTTGATAAAGATCAATTACGAATCTATAATAGGAAACCAGGTGGTTCATTAGAGCATCTATAATGGTGAGTTCAATGAAAGAGTTGAATGAGGTGGCAAGTCCACGTGTCATTCAATTGATGAAACTCTACTATTGTGAGATACCACTTTGGCATTCAATGGATTTGGAGTTCAATGGTCATTAAACTCTTTACTGGGAAAAATGAAAGTTTTTTATTCTTAAATATTTACTATAAATTATGTTTTGTAACATTCTATTGAACTTTGTAGAGTTCAATGCATTGTAGAGAAAAAAAATAATAGAGTTGTATGGATTGTAGAAAGATGATGTGACAATCTATTGAACTCTATGGAGTTCAATGCATTGTGGATGCCCTTAATCAGATTAATCGGGTTGAAGCGAAAAATGTGTTCCAGAAAAATAACCATTTCAACATGAGAGGACCAAACCCAAACTGGTCATTTCTTATTTATTTTTTACTTAAACCAACTTAAACTTAGAGTAAAGACAGTCTAAACAAGGCTCCAACAAGCTTAGTGTGAAAAAGACATTATATATTATAACGGAACCCCCTCTGTTAGGGCAAGATCCTCAATCCTATCCAGGATCCCGGATCTCAAAGATATCTAAGGATCCTTAAACCTATCAAGGATCCCGGATCTTAAAGGAGTCTCAGGATCCCGAACATAGATTAGGATCCTGAACATCGCCATTATTATTTCCTAACAAGTTTAACGACTATATTTCTTGTTTATTTCTCATATGTGCATAAATGGTCAACATAAGACTCATTCATAACGAATAATCACTTCAACCAGGCTTAAAACCTGAGAATACCAAGTCAAAGCACGTTGCAAATACCAGTTCAGCAGGATCCCGAAAATATCAGACTTTTAGTTACTTAACCTAGACTATAAATACACTTGTAAAACTCACACAACGTACACAAACTCTGACACATTACCCATTTAGACTCACTTTATCATTTGTAATCATATTATCAAGCTTATCTCTATAATTCATTATTCAATCAATAAAATCAAACAAGCCAGGTAATGATTATCACCTCCCAAGGTTTTATGTCGGAGATCCTAACAAGGATCAAGGGCTTTCCTTGTAAACCACTCTTGTCATTTTAACTTCAATTCGATTCTTGTATTAGCTAAAACACCACAGCCTCTCATACAACTTGATTGATCTTCGTTTGATCGATTTTGACCAAAACAATTTGGCGCCCACCGTGGGGCCATGGTGTTCGTAATTTTCAAAAACCATGTTTACACAACCAACTTTATCTTTTTCCTCTATTCCTCCAATTTCCTCAAAGAATCTTCCACCACCTCCAAACGGACCTCCCGGTCAGAGGAAAACTTCGGATACCTCTAAAAAGAACACCTCTCCGATCATCAGCCATGTGAATCCAGGATCCATGGGATTCCAGGATCCTCCGGTTCCGATCTTTAACAACGAACTCTTCTCCATGGTGAAGATGGTGAATCAAAAACTGAATCAACGACAGGAGGACAACATAACATTGCTCAAATAAATCGAAAGAATAGGAACAAAGATCCACAAACCGCATGAAACAACACCTTTGATTTCGTAACCCAGGATCCTCGATTTCGACAGCGCAGGATCCCTAGGGAATCATCAAGATACTACAACCTCGGCACCTGTTGTTGCTTCGACTTGGGGAGCAATCACAAATAATCAAACCCTTGTGATGCAGGATCCTAACGAAACCTTCACTACCCTAAAAAACCAAGTAACTGGTAACTTACTAAATAATAATGCATTTAATACTATCTCTGAGGATCTTGATGCAGGTATAAGTCCTATCATGGCTAGGGAACTTCAACAATTGAGACAGATGATCTCGAGTGTACCAGGAATAGTCCAACCTATACCAGAAGCAACCCCTGCAAGCCACAGCATCTCGAGATTTGCTCCCGCAATATGTGACAACCCAAAACTTCTAACTTGTAAGATCAGTTAATGTTATCAATATTAAACTCGATTTTATCATCATTTAACACCATTTAAGGGTGTAACGATACTTTCTAAGCCTCGTACAATCAAAGGTTGAGTTCTAGGTCGAGTAATACCAAGTTATAGTACAACATTCGGGCCATACACCCTCTCGGGAGGAGTGTACAGCCATACACATGGGTGTGCGGCCGCACACCCACCCTCCAACCGTACACCCTCCTCTATATAAAAGAGGAGACCCCTTCACTCATTCCTTTCCTTTGGCTGCACTCAACTTTCTCTCATTACTTTCTCTCTCTAAAAACTTCATCCAAGAACACTCTAAAGGCCTCAAAAACGTGAATTACTTCATCATTCAGCTTGTTAGATTGGTAAGACACCTGAATCTAAGACTAAAACTCATAGTGTTCTTCATCCTTTGAAGGTGTACGGCCGCACACCTTCATAAGGTGGCCGTACACACCTTAAAGACTCTCCAAAGTGAAGAGTTTGGCCTCCATTTGCTAGTTGGACTTGGTATTAGCACTAGAACACCTAAAAATCGACATTTCGGGCACAAATGAGGAGTGTACGGTCGCACACTCCTGTGTACGGCCGCACACCCCCTCTGTATGGCCGCACACTCCCATGTACGACCGCACACACGTCCTGGCCGCACACCCTGGCCGCACACACACTCTTTTGGCCGTACACCTCCTTTGTTTGATCATATAGGGTCCCGACAAGCGTTTCCAAGTCCTTAGGGTGGTTTCCCGCCATGTTTTGTCAAGGAATACCTTAATCTAATACATATATGTGTTATTATATGTTAATAGGATCCACTTGCGTACGAAACATCAGTTGACACTCAGTACTCGTAACTGATCGTACATCCGAACTACACGTAAACTAGTTAATACAGGATTGTGAGACTTATCTTCGTTATGCCCTTCTGGGTACCAATAAATCCTCTCCGGAAGTATAACCAGAGTCTCCTGGAGAGAGAACGTGAAATTTGTGAATAGATCTATTCGGGATGAGTAATAAAACTACTCTTGGTTTTATTTGAGTAATAAAACTACTTACTGGTGGTAACCAGGGTTTTCAAATGATATTTACTTATAACGAAAAGGAATCAATTTTACAAATTCAGTGACTAGTTTCCAATACAAAAACATGCTTATGAACTCACCAGCTTTATGCTGATACGTTTTCAAAATCGCTTGTATTCTCAGGGCAACGATAGACAGGTACCTTCGCCCACTTTTGGAGAAGACGGAGCATCTTGAAGTCCAGTCTTTATCTTTTGTTACTTTTGAATATACTGATATGTACAAACTATGTTTACAAACAAATGTAAATATTCATATTGTAATGTAATGGTTGTGTTTACTTTGATTACTATGATACGATTGTTGTGATACTACGCATGACGTCGCCCGCCCC